GTAAAAGGCTTTATGATAACAAAGGGGATCTAATACATTAATCTTACAGCAACAGGTGAACAGACTGGCTCGAGACTGTTCGAATACTCAATGAGGACACGTAGAAGAGGAGGTTCACATCTCGCGAATCCTCACAAAGAACAAAGGCCCTGTGACGACATGCTGGAACAACCCCTCATCGACACAGCCCACCCTTGTTTCTACCTCTGGCCCCCGTCTAGACAGAAAAACTCCCCTGTCAAAACTCACAGACGGTGAGAAGACCCTGCTCAGTAGGCACAATGGCTGCTTCAAGTGCCAACATTTCAATGTCGATCACCAGTCTAAGGCCTGCCCGTACGGATTTCCTAATGCCACAACGTACACGGAGCTAACCCAGGCCGACGTCACTGCTAGCCTCTACCCCTCCGCTGCAAATTGTCCTTCAACTTCAAAGACGACTATAGTCAACACCGTTGTCGACAATACAGAAGATGAACCAATGGGTCTCATTGGAGTGGTCGCTGTGCTTGACTCCAAGGATGACACCGATGAGTGTGTTCTCTTTTCTATGCCCCACCTTACTTTCCCCTGTACAATTCCCGCTCCTGCCGTTGATAAGCCTCAGGATCATCTGACCCCTGAAAACGCGGACTCAGCCCATCGTACAAGCCCTCTGGAGCTCATTCGACACAGTGCTCACACGCCTCTAGGTTTCTATGGGCTCTAAAGAATTTTTCTATTTAGCTCCGGACTTCCTAGCATCCTCAAGATGTACACGGACCCATTCCGCAATTTATCTCTGTGGACAGGAGCTCTGGAGTGACTTAACTAATGCAATTTCTAGATGAATTAGCTCCGGGGCCCGCGGACACTTCTATCGAGGGGCGTCGTCCTCATGCCCACCCTCCAGCACACACCCCCTCTCATTTCCATCAAAATACCGAAGGTGCGTACGTATACAAGTCACCATGAGGCCAGCATCAGTCAGCGAGCGGCCGGAGGTAATTAGCACGTGACCGGCGCATCACGTGGAGTGATGGGACCACTTAGGGCAGGTGGAGGAGCGTCGAGGCGACCTCTAGGGCTGGGACGAGCAAGTGGGAGTGCAAGGGAGTTGTATGATGCATGGTATAATGGTGGCAAGTGCTGAGCAATCCTGTGGGTAGCAGCATTTATTTGTTATTTATCTCCAGACGGTCGCAAAGCCATTCCTGTAGTATAAATTGTACAAAGTAGCATACAGAAAAACAAGTTTTGCACTTCACCATCTCGGAGAATTAGCGTTACAATCTCAGCGACCCTTGAAATTCGAAAGTGTCGAACTTAGCGAATTATAACTGATCCTAGCTTTGCCAATAGGCCTGACTCGTCAAGTGATTTATCTCCGCCGTCGATTTAATTATCTCTGGTGTGTCCTACATAGTGAAATAAAATTAACCCAGTCCCTCTAGCAATTTCTACCCCCGCAAGCACGATCCTACGACAGGTGTTGTTGCTTGCGACTTTGATTGCAACTTTTCGGAGATAAATACTCCGGAGTGTCAACTAGCATTTGTTTCAGGTGTCAAAGGGTTTGCTTTATTTTTCTAGGTCTTCCTATGGACTACCCTACGGTGTCTTACTCCTCCTTTCCCCCTCAAACTATTAAATACCCCTCAGTTGTCTCAGACCGCCTTCACCCATATCATGGGGGGTCAGGTTTATTTCTTTTGGTCCTTGGTGATTGTTGTGTGTCAGTGCATATCACCGTCGAGGACCCCATCCCCATCACAGCCATGCTTGATACGGGTTGCAGTATGACACTAATATCCGATACCCTTGCACAGCAATTAGGCCTTCGCCAGTTCGTTCTCCCCAAACCGAAGGCGATATTGCTCGCACTAGACTCTGACGGAGTTGAGAAGGTTGCAATGCACTTAACACATTGGGTTCAGATTTCTGTTTCTTCTCTCGATAATTCATGGTGCTCTCGCCCTGTACGCACTCTTGTGACGCTGTGTTTATGTGTTCCTTTACTGTGTGGTCTTACCTTTATTTCTTGGAACCACCTCACTGTTGATCCTGAGGATCATACATGTATAGACAAAACGTCTAGTTATGAGTTGTTAAACCCTTCTGCACTAAACACCCGCGAGTTACCGCATAAGCCCCCCTCTAGATCTGATGTCCTGAATGAACACTGGATCATTGAAAACAACCGGTGAGCTACAATTGCCGAGCTCAAAGAACATCTCAAGCCCTTACGCGAACAGGTTGACTGAGTGGCCTTCATAGCTAAGCCCTTTGATGCCATCACTGCTGTTCGCGACCGCATACAGATGCTAACAGTCCAGGAACAGCTTGATACCCTCAATCTTGAGTTCAAGACCAAGTACGCCGACCTGTTTCCAGATGACATACCCCACGTTACTCAACTCCCAAACGACGTCTTCCACAGAATCAAGCTCAAAGACCCCAATAAGGTCATAGCAGGCCGTCAGTACTCATGCCCAAAGATGCATGGCATACACTCCTGCAACAACATCTCGAGGCCAGTCGTATGCATTCTAGTTCTAGTCCCTACTGCTCACCTTCCTTCCTCATCCCCAAGTCCGACCCAACTGTGTTACCGTGATGGGTAAATGACTATCAAGAGCTGAATGCCAACACTGTGCTGGACAGTCAACCACTTCCATGCATCGACAAGATCCTATCTGACTGCGCAAAAGGTAAGATGTTCTTGAAGATAGATATGACTAATTCCTTCTTCCAGACTCGTGTACACCCAGATGACATCCCCTACACCATTGTCTGGACCCCCTTTGGGCTATACAAATGGCTTGTAATGCCGCAGGGGGGGAGGTATGCCCCCGCAACACACCAACGCCGGATGTTCACGCTCTATGGAAGTATATTGGTAAAATATGTCGCGTCTACTTAGATGACATCGTGATATGGTCTAACACCATCGATGAGCACAAAGAAAATGTGCGCCTAATTCTGAAGGCTTTTCGTGAGTCCTCACTTTTTTGTTCCCCCAAAAAGACGCAGCTTTTCTGCACTGAAATCTGCTTCCTTGGACATATTGTCTCACAACGTGGCATCGAAGCTGACCCCTCAAAGGTTGACAAAATACTGGACTGGCTGACATTTAAATCCGCTACAGATGTCTGTGCCTTCCTGGGCCTCATATGATATATCTCTTCCTTTCTTCCTAAACTTGCAGATCATATTGTTGTACTGACTCCTCTGATGACCAAAGAAGCAGAACACGAGAACACCAACTGGCCTTCGAGAGTGTCAAACAGCTTGTTGTCAGTAGGGAATGCCTTACAACAATAGATCATAACAACATGGGTAATAACAAAATCTTCGTAACTACTGATGCCAGTCAGTACAGAACAGGAGCTATGCTCTCGTATGGTGAGACCTGGGAGAGTGTCCGACCTGTCACCTTTGATTCAATGCAAATGCACAGTGCTCAACTGAACTACCCCATACACGAACAAGAACTCCTTGCCATCATTCGCACCTTGGAAAAGTGGCGAGTTGATCTCTTAGGTGACCCCTTTACCGTCTACACTGACCACCGGATGCTGGAGAACTTCCACACCCAAAAGCACCTTTCACGATGCCAGATTCGTTGGCAAGAATTTCTTTCCCAATATGACTTCAACATCAAGTATGTCAAAGGAGAAGACAATACTGTAGCCGACGCGATGTCGCACGTTCCCGCTCCTGGTGCTCCTGGTGAAGAGATAGTTGGATTCATGAAATTCGGTGAGTTCCCGCTTGCCATTGCCTCTGCACTAACAACCATGGAACCACATGCACATACAGTTGCAGCAGCAATGGAGATAACAGCTGACCCGAGTTTTCTGGCTGAACTATGTGCTGGCTATGACACCGACAAGTTCTGTCAACAATTCTTGGCCATGACCAGCTCCTTCCCCTCCCTCACAATATGTGAGGGGCTACTCTACTTGGCTGACCATCTTGTCATTCCTCAAGTGGCTAAGCTCCGTGAGACACTCTACCGCCTGGCTCATGACAACCTAGGACATTTTGGCTTCAACAAGACATATACTGCGTGAGTCTTATTACTGGCCCAACATGCGACACGACCTCGAGGAATCATACCTCCCCTCGTGTCCAACTGTTATGATTTTCCCATGCTTATCCATTCTATTTCCATTCTGAGCATTGCTATTGGACAGTACCTTTCTCTGAGTAGACCTTCCCATGGATGCTATCTTCTTCTCACATGTTATCTCCCTTGACTCACCTTCTACCAATGGGCACCCTTGTATTTCTCATTTCTCTGAGTTACGTTCTCACAGGATAGCTTACGCATCCTTTCTTATTGTTCTCCCCTATACCACTTACTATATATACTGTAGGAAAACCCATGTATTCCTTAGTTCAACCTCCTGTTGAATACAGCGATTACCTGGACTCTTGACTTGACTGTTGGCATTGGCCCGGCCAGACCTACCTTTCAGTACGCTTACTGAGGTAGTGATGACATAACTGTTGGCACGTGGCCCAGTTATCTCAAGACAACTAGTTAGGACATCACTTCCTAACACCAACATGTCAATGGAACAAAGACTCCACACACAAGCCTGCCGGTCCGCTTCACCCCCTCCCAGTACCTGATGCCCATGGCAATTCCATCGCCATTGACTTCATCAGACCATTGCAGCTCAATGAAGGGTATGACACTATCATCACAATCACTGACCACCTAGGATCAGACGTTCGAATCATACCCGCTCACTCCTTGCAGACAGCGGAACAGTGCGCAAGCTTATTCTTCGACAACTGGTATTGTGAAAATGGTTTACTGACTGACATTATCTCAGATCGTGATCACCTTTTCCTCTCCAAGTTCTGGCGAGCCCTAAGAAGCTTGCCGGCGTCAAACTGAAGATGTCCACCTTGTTTCACCCCGAGACAGACAGCACTAGTGAACGTACAAATAAGACCAAAACCAAAAGGGATGGGTCAAGGCCCTCCCAAAGGTATGTTTCGCTATCATGAACACGGTTAACATGTCTACAGGCTACTCCCCAATTCAATTGCACTTGGGACGCAGTCCCCGCCTGATTCCACCACTGGTCCCTCCAATGTCCCCATCCACTGCTGAAGCCGATGCTGGCCGCCTCATCCGAACTATCGACAACCTTGTGGCAGACACTCAGGACCACCTGCTCAGCATGAGGGTCAACCAAGCCTTCTTTGCCAACCGTCATCGTGGGCCTGAGCCGACGTTCAATGTCGGTGACATGGTGATGCTCTCTACACGCAACCATTGTTGGGAATACAAATCCAAAGGCGATAAACGCGTGGCTAAGTTCATGCCCTGCTACAATGGTCCTTACCATATTACTGATGCTTTTCCTGAGAAATCTGTCTACACGCTTGACATGCCTAACACCATGAACATATTTCCTGAATTCCACTGCCCTATCATCCTAATGAAGGACAGCTCTTTCCTGGTCGCGAACTACCACGTCCAGGCCCAATTGTGACACCCAATGGCGAACAGGAGTGGACCGTACACAAAATAGTCGATGAACGTCGACGCGGAAGAGGATATCAATACCTCGTTCGCTGGGCCGGCTACAATGAGCATGATGACACCTGGCTACCCGGCCGTGAACTCGATGGCTGCGCTGCCCTCGACAAATGGTTCGAAAAACACCCAAGACCCTGAAGATCTTCAAGTCCTCCCCTCCTCTCTCCCTGTTCGATTTCTTCACAGTGGGGGAGGGTGTAACTCTGTCGGCTTACTCCGAATGCGCATCCCAACTATCTATATATGACTTCCACTTTTCTATTCTCGTCACGTCTTCACACACGTCTCGACCGTCCTTTCACTAGTTCATCTTCTGTGGTACTTACATGTTGACATTGCTCAACTTATAAGTCGGAAATGTTGCATCTCTGTAGATTATCGTTCTCTTTTCCCCTTTCTTGCTCAATACCACCTGTGGTCCCATTCTTGTGTGTTTGTCGCTCTGAGTGTTGCCTGCCCACACGGGCTTCCATAAGTCTAAAGTTATGGTGGAATCTACAAGAGCCATATGTCAGAGGATGTGAGTGCGGCCAACGGTATCCAAGTCCAGCTGCAATCATTACGAGTCACCCGGTAAGGCAGTATGTATGATGTATATATGCCAATTTGAGACCCATACAGCTATTGCCACGTAGTGCAGTAGTTATATTGTTCATTTTTACATATATCATTGTTCAACTCAAGATCAAAGTCGAAATACCTGTATTAGTGAGGTCTTAGATAGTGGTATCAATGACCATCAGGTGCCACATTGGCATGCGTGGCTCCTCCTTTTATTATTTCTGGGACCCATGGCCTTATCCGGGCTTATCATGCCTTATAATGGCTTGTAACCCCCATCAGGCCTGATCAGCCTCAGGCTGACAGAGGCTTATACATGCTTTTCGATCATTTCTGAACCCGATAACTCTCCCCGAACCTGATTGACGTATCAGTGCATTATCTGGCATTGTAGAGCAATATCAGTCTTTTCTGTTTTTTCTGCCATTTACTAGCTCCCAAGTCAGTGGATGCCAAAATGCTATGGGTTATAAGGAGTTATGGGTTATGAGAAGCATAGGTTAAGAGGAACTCAACTATAGTCCTCTCGTAAGCATCCTCAAAGTTATCACCCATGAGTATACTTGTATAATACATGTTCCCCATCATGTTGTTCACATGAAGTCTCTCAGCATTACACTCTCCTTTCAGGAGTCAGGGACTGGCACTTGCGCTGCTACGATTCAGGTGGGGTGCGGGATTCCAGCGAGTTTCAATAATATACGGAATCGCCTCGGCTTTGTTTCAAGGCCTGCATATATGGAACAGGCCCGGGCCCTCATGAAAGCATGAAATTTCCATGTACTTTCACCGGCCCATGTGAAAGGGATGCCAGAAAAGGCAGCAGAACTCCTTCAAATGGTTTGGAAGACGGTATGTAAGTGGTCTTGGAGGTCTCTGGACGTCTCCCTGTCATCCTCCGGGGCCTATGACATCAATACGAAGGCATCGGAAGTGTTCAGGAAACTGATCGAGCATGAACAGAGCAAACAGAAAATTGCAGTGATTCCGCATATTATTCAAGGTTGCTGTTAGGTTTGCAAGACATGTTAGGCACTGTTACGATCAAAACACTCTTTCACTATAACACGTGTTCACACGCGTTGGCATCTACGTGCATCTCATTCATAACCTTTTCGAGATATTCATCCACCTGACCTAAACCCCACAACCATCCAAACCCTAATCGCCAGAGCAATGGCGGACGCAGAACAGAAGGACAGGAAAGGGCACATTGCCAAGCCCGAGTACTTTGACGGAAGCAAGACCAAGTTCAAGGCTTGGTGGAGACAGGTCCTCACGTACCTGAGAAATAACAAAAAAGATTTCATCACGGATGCTAAAAAATCGATTTTGTTATCTCATATCTCAGAGGACCTAAAGCGGAAGTCTGGTCACAGAACTATTATGACCAGTTCTTCAGGGACGATACAGAGAGCTCGGAGAAGACGTGGGCGGTCTTCAAAATGGAGATCACCGACGCCTTCCAAGATTCAAATCTTGCTGCACAGGCGCAGATCAAGATCGATCACCTGCACCAAGGGCAGAGGCCAGTGGAGGAGTATTTTCAGGAGTTGGAAATACTAATGACACAAGCCGGGTACAAGAAAGAGGATCAGTACATCCTGAAAACCATCCGTACCAGCGTCAATGAAGCACTTGTCGACAAGGTCTACGGACAAGTCACGGTGCTGACGACATACGACGGATGGAAGGCTGTTTTGATCAAACTCGACAATGCCTGGCAGGAGCGTCAGCAGGAGAAGGCCATGTGGGCCTCA